AAAAAAAAAAAAAAAAAAACCTCATCAACCTCACACCTCACACCCCACAACCCACAACCCACACCCCGCTATCTTGCCCCTCACCACTCTCGTGCACTTTATCCAAACTCTTGCGTTGCGTACATGTTAGTCTTTTATGTGTTTAACAGCTTCCTAAAGACAGACCAACCATTTCATCCATGATTTTGATGTTAGGTGATGAGTGCCCCTTGCCTCAACCCAAAAAACCAAGTTTCTCTGGTGGAAAATATTCGTCTGAAGCAGATTCTTCTTCAAGTAAGAACTTTAACATCTTCAAGTAAGAAGAAAACATCTTCAAACTATGACTCTACCATAACATTGCCTTAGGCTCAATGAGATGCAATTAATTGTAAATCTTGCACCATGTAATTTAATCAAGGTATTATTCATAGCTATGTTGGTGTGCAATTTTCCCATGGAAATAGTCGAATTATATAAAAATTGCAATAGTAAAACTTAATATGGTGTAGATGAGTTATTGGTTTTTCTAAAACTTAATATGAAGAGTGGTGGGGTGTGTGTCTATGTACTAAGGGTTAAGTATTAAGTTGGATGATCTTTTTTGTCTTTTTACACAAAAATAAAACTTAAGCTTAATGATTTAAGTATTGGGGTGAGCAAAGAAAAGTGTGGGGTTTAAATAGAAAAACTCATCTTGTGCTACCTCAAAGGCTCTCTTGATCATGGCATTCTCATTTGTTTTTCTCCTTCCTCGCTCATCATTTGTGCCTTCTCTGACGCAGATTGGGCTGGCTGCCCTGATACTCGTCCCTCCACCACCGGCTACCTCATCTTTCTGGGTTCCACTCTCATCTCATGGTACTCCAAAAAGCAACCCACTGTTACCCGCTCAAGCGCTGAATAAGAATATCGTTCTCTAGCCCATGCATGTGCCGAAACAGTTTGGGTTAGTTATCTCCTTCATGAACTTCGCTGCCCGGTTACTTTTCCCTCTCTCCTCTATTGTGACAACATCAGTACTACCTACCTTGCTGCCCATCCCATTCACCATGCTCGCACCCGTCACATTGAATTAGATTACTACTTTGTCCGTGAGAAAGTCTCTCTTGGCAGCCACTGTGTTCCTTTTGTTTCATCTCCTAATGAGGTCGTAGACCTCCTCACCAAGGGTCTCCACAAACAATGACAGAGCCAAGAATTTATCAAGGAGGGTCAACTTCAAATAGCTTTATAATTACATTAAACCTAGTTTTTATAAGAAAATATATTTAAGAATTCATTATAATGATTAAATTTCAATATCACAAATTTAATATCTTAGTAAGTATAACCCAAATTCTAGCAACCTAAAAATATTAAAAGAGTATCAAAAGTTGATTTTAGATAGAATGAGAAAATCAAATAAAATCCGTGACACACACATATAAATGACATATGAAGACATGCAAACAAATATAGATCATATTCATGTTCATTGTAGATAATTTACATTTGCGAGAAGGGTCAACATTAAGTATAACTGTAAAACAACTTGGATAACATAGATAAATATAAGGTTTTAAAAATGTTGAGAAGGGTCAAGTGACCCTTATGGGCCTTAATTGGCTCTGCCAATGTCCATTAGGGCCGCCATCTCTAACTTGCTGACAAACTTGTCCGTCGCCGACAGTCTAGTTTGAGGGGGAGTGTCAAGCAATCTCCTCAAGTCAACACTTAGCCATTACGCCTCTCCTTAATTCAAGGATTCTACCTTCCAGTTTTTTTATTTATATTATTACTAATTTAGTTTCCCTGTATATCTAATTTGTTTCCAGGTACATCTCATATAGGATTTCCTATTCCTGTTCAACTCTTGTATTACTTTTACAATCAATCAAACATACAAAGTTTACATATAGGTTAGGCTAGTTCGTCAGGACAGTGAGCCCTTCCCCTTGCCCCCAAGTTCGAATCCCCTTCCCCATAGATAAAATTAATTTAGAGTAATTTAGATTATCGTTTATATCAAAATAACCAAAACAAATTCAAACAATACAAAACAAAGAAAGAAAAAGAAAACTCAAACCAAGATCCTATCTTTAATAGGATTGGCTTGTGATGGATTGTAATTGGAGTGGATAAGATATGCTAAAAAAAAATTGTTGGGTTGTGATGGAGGAACACCCACAATCCTCACTAACTCATTTGCTCTTAATTTGTAGCTATAATTAAACCAGATAATGTAGTAATAAGTAAAAAGAAAAAAAGAAAACAAAAAAGGTGTGGTGTGTGTGGAGAAGTATAAAGAGTAAGACTGAAGACCATTTCTCCTCCACTTGTCTTCTCTCACTTTGAAAGTTGAATGAAAGGCCATGGCAGTCAACGCTGGTTTGCTTTACAGGCATATACACTAGTTCTCCCTGTAATAATAAAATACCAATATTTTCTCCCATTTTTGTCTCCTTTGTTGTCTATACGACCGTTCAAACTTCCAAGCCCGTGCCTTCGGAGACTTTCAAACCCAACAAATAGACACACTTCGCATATATATATATAAAAATGAAACAAACCCCACGCATCGACTCAATATATTTCAAACGCGATGCTTTAGAATGCTACAAAATTCAAAGAAAGTGATCCTTTTCCAACTCTCTCTCCTTCTTCTCTCTTGCTTTCTCTCCAAGTTGCGCGTCTAGATTGGGTTTGAAAGTCAAAACTTCTGCACAAACAGAGCCAAAAGTTCCTTCGTCCTTCTCACAATCTCTAGCTGCTTTCCTGTGTTTGCATAATTCAATCATATAATTCACAACCCACTTGCTGGATTGGGCTAAATCTTTCATTTTCTTTGTTTCTTTGATTTTTGGTTTCATTTGAGACAATCCCAGTTTTGGGTTTAGCAGAGGAGAAGCTCTCTTTGATTGGCTTGGAGTTTTGTTGGGTTTTAAATTCCCCCAAAAGCAGATTTGGATGCCAGTTTTGGTTTAAATGAATTTTTGAGATTTCAAACTACATACTCATATTGATAAATTGTGAAAAAGAAAATCCAGCTTTCAGATTCTTTGGAGTTGATGCTCTCAGGGTCTACTAGCTATTAGTTGATTGAGTTTGAGGTGATTTCATAACTTTGTCAATCTTGGATTGTAGATACTGCCTTCCAAGGTTTTTGGGTTTTGAAATTCAGGTTCAAAGAGGTCAGCTTTTCACTAACTTCAGCTAGATTGAAGTTGAGGATATTTGATCCAATTGCCAATCCATATTGAATCTGTGGTTTAAAGTTTGTGGGACTTGTGAATTATGGAGGGCACTCAAGGTGGTTCTAATGCACCAGCGCCTTTTCTTACAAAAACATATGACTTGGTGGATGACCCCTCATCCAACCACGTTGTGTCTTGGAGTGAAACTGGTTGTAGTTTCGTGGTTTGGGATCCCACAGAGTTCGCCAAAGAAATGCTTCCCATGTATTTCAAACACAACAACTTTTCAAGCTTCGTGAGGCAGCTGAATACATATGTGAGTTCTTTAGTGTTTCTTTACTTTTGGAGCTTATTGATTTATTTTCAATTTTCTGTCTTCGTGTCTTGTTTTTGTTTTTATTTCCTTGGGAAATTATCCATTTAGATATAACATGTCATTTTCTTTTGTGCTTGATTTTTGGTGTCATGGGTTAAACTCAAACAAATGATAAGTAGTCGCATTACAAACTTCAGAAATGATTAGTATTTCTGCAGATTAAGTGTTTTGTTTGAACTTTCTTGTAAAGTTTTGTGCTTGTACACGCTTTATTGCTTTCCAAGTTCCAACTAGGAATGTTTATTTTGCTTCGTAAATCAATCTGTTTATCTAGTCTGTTGGAGCATTTCTGACTAAACTCCATTAGCAGTTGCAAGCATGCTAGTGTTGTTTTGGTTTGTTTATAACCAAAATTTCTGGATGCTTGTAGTTGTTTGTCTGTTAGAACTAATCTTGATTAGCAGGTGGTCCTAAGAACTTGGTGGGGTTCATAGAATCAAAATGGAAAAGCGTTTAGTTTATGAGAAGACTGGAATATGGTCGCTACCATTAGCCCCTCTAGCTCTTAGCCACGAAAACTTTTTCAATATATGCCAAACAGGCAAAAAATTCTTAGATTGAGAACAAGAGTATATGGGGTCTGAACTGTGAAGCTGACAAATGAACAAACCTCATCTTGGAGAAAGGCTCTTTGAATATGATGGAGAATTCCATAAACACTTCATTTGATTGGCAATCGCAAAGCAGTGGTTTTTTATTCGGTACCATTTGGATCAACTGTGATAGTTCATGGCTCTTATTATTGAGGATGCTGTTCAGCCTGAAAAGGACATGATTTGAAACTGGATCGATGTGGTTATTTAAAAGGCTTGTATAGCAGTGTTTATTTAGCTTGAAGTGCTGAGAGACATTGAGTAGGTTGGTTTGCAGTTGGCATACATGGTTGGGCCTCACTGGAAAGGCTTTCAAGACATGCTATGGGGCTGGATTTCTGAGGTAGTTATAGATTAGGTATCTTTGTGGTTTATAGGTCCTTCTGTTTCCTATGTTGTGTTACTATTAAAAATTCAGGGGCACTGTCTGTATTTTAGAGTCGTATGGTCACTGCTGCTAAGAGGAGTTCAATAATTGGGGTTATTGCCCTGGTTTGCTGAGATTTGTTGGAGGGATTTTCAGGGTGATGGAGAAAGTATACTTAAGCTATAGAAAGATTATATGTTCTTTCCCATCCAAAAAGGGAGGTGGGCTGAAGTCAAAGAGTTTGTTGAAATTAGTTTTCCTATAGTACCTGAATTTTTCCCTTCAATTCCCAAAACCTGAATTAGATTCTGTCTGAACTTACCTTTGTTTTCTATTTAATTAAAGGGAAAAGGGTTTTAGTTGCAATTGATTAGGCTAATGCTAGTGTGAGAGCTTATCCAGGGAGAATTTAAACAATTAAGCAATTTTCGAAGCTTAAAATAGTTTATAATGGTCTTAACCTGTGTGCTTGATTTTATATAAAAGCCAGCCGTCTAGTATTGTCTAATCTAGCACCATCGGTTCATTTTTTTGTTTTTCTATGTTTGCACCTGCCTTTTGTTTTTCGGTTATTAATGTGTGTAATTATTGTTCTTAATTGTTGAAAGTTTGTGTTCTGTATGAGCAGGGGTTTAGGAAGATTGATCCTGAACAGTGGGAGTTTGCAAATGAGGAATTCTTAAGAGGAGGAAGACATCTGCTGAAGAATATTCACCGCCGCAAGCCAATTCATAGTCATTCCACGCAGAATCATGAGTATTCTTCAGTTCCTTTAAGCGAGACAGAAAGAGAAGAATATGAGAAGAAAATCAATAGACTGAATCATGAGAAAAGCTTGCTTGAGTTAGAGCTACAAAGGCATCAAAGAGAGAATCAAGAGTTTGACTATCAAATACAGATATTACAAGAACAACTGCAGAAAATGGAACATCAGCAGAAACAGTATACCTCCTTCTTGGCTGAACTACTGCAGAAACCAGGATTAGCTTCTATACTTATGCAAAAATCAGATATCCATAACAAAAAGAGAAGATTGTTGAAATCTAGCCAGTTTCCTGATGACTTCAAGATGGAAATTTTGAATTTGAATACGCAGAACGAAAACCTGGGTACAATTTCAACTCCCGTAATTAAGTTGGACCAGCTTGAGATGATGGAGTCTTCCTTAAACTTTTGGGAAGATTTTCTACATGGGATCGGGGAAGCAATGCCTGAAGAAGTAAATGATATTGGCTCGTTATCTCAGGCCTCTCCCATCATTGTTACAGAAATACAAGACCCTGGCATGAATAGCAGGCCTTGCTCGCCTAGATCACATTTATCTTCGCCAAATTCAATGAATGTTTCATCCCCAGAGGTGATTGGGTCTGCAAATTTTCTTGACATCCTTGCTATAACATCAACTTGCCACAATGTTGATTTCAGGCCAAAATCTTCAGGGATTGATATGAACTCTAAGCCTGATAGTGCTCCTGCGACTGAGGCCTTGAAAGAAAGGGTACAGGAAATGAAAAATGCCATGCCTGCTGCGGCGAATGATATGTTTTGGGAACAGTGCCTTACAGAGACCCCTGGTTTAGATGATGCGCAGGAAGTACAGTCTGAAAGAGGGGATAGTGATGGCAGAGTGAGCGATACCAATCCAGCTATTCAGAAAAAGCTTTGGTGGAACACAGATGTAGATAACTTCACAAACCAAATAGGGCGCCTCACTCATGCTAGTTGACCGGTGAACACTTGCGTTTCAATGTTCAGATTTATACTATATAAACTTTAAGTTGGAATTACTTAGTCCTGTATTTTCTAGATATTCCAATTTTTCTTTAGCTCATTCTTGTGGTGCATATTTGATTCTTTCTGATATAGCTTGGACTTAGAGATACAATAAGCTAGAGACACAAACTTCTTCACTATTGTATGTAAATGATATCAGGTTTCCAGGAGTTTTTATTGCTGATATATATACCTTTCCTTCTTTTATAATTTGAATGTAACTTCACTATAGTGCTACATTTAACTTATTTAGACCTGGCTAGCTTGGAATTAGTTTCCATTGACAATTTATGAGGAATCAGGAGGCTTTCCTTAGGCTATGGTTCCGATGAAAAAAAACGATAATTTTTCCATGTATATATGTCGTTCAATATGGTCATGTTTGATTTAGAATATTTTTCCTTGTATATATGGTTCAACATAGTCATGTTTAACTTAGAAATTTAGAAGGTTCTTCACTGCATAAGGTTGGTGAGGGTTCTGTGCAGTGCACCATCAAAAGGTAGATGCTCATGACATGCATGCTTACCATGATAAGAACAAAATGAGAGTAGAGTAGATAGCTCTTCTAATGGAACATGTGAGGTTAATCACAACAGAATGAAAGTAGTGTTGAAAATATTAACTAATTATACTCGTAATAATCAAATAAATTTATTATAAAAAAAAAAACATACAAAGTGATACATCGTAATACTAGTAATAACCATCTCCTCTCATACCATAGTGGAAACAATCCAATTTGCCCACAACGGTTCCATCCGCAAAGTGCATCAAGGGAGTATATGGAATTTGGACGTCACCCCGGAAAGTCTAAAGCAGACACAGACATGGATCCGTACAAACACAAGAACAAAGCATCAGTTCCTATACTCTCAATCTCATCCCATTGCCATTGGGATCCTCCATCATGCCCAGAAGCACACCACATCTTATGATCCAGCTCAAAAGATTATGAAGATTCTGAAATGGACCTATCGAGAAGCAATAGATCTCCCCGTGACGATTCGACAAGGTAAGGATAAGCGAGTGCACATGGTCTTGTAGCTTCAGTACGAATAATAGTTGCAGGGTCACTGTTAACATAAATTGAGATAAGCTCACCATTCTCAGTAACAGCAAGAAACTGGCCTTTATGATAAATTACATCCATTAATAACGTTATCGTCCTCGTATCTATCGTCCTCGTATCCATTAATAACGTTATCGTCCGCGTATCAACGCTTCAAAATCATTAGAAAACAAACAAGGGTCGGCCGACAATACAAACCTTTTTTATTTGGAAAGACCATGAATGACTATCCACCCGTTCTTCTTTGACTGCAGCTGGCAGGGGAATGGTACGCCTGGTAAAAGGGTTAAATAAGGTAACGACCAAGTCTTCAGTATCCTTACAAGTCAACTTGGTTTTATGGTTTATGTGAAGATTTTACTGAAGGGTTTTTTTATTTTCCCTTAAAGAAGCGGCCTAGGCTTTTGGTTATCACCTTCAAAAGAAAAAAAAAAAACACAAAACTATTTTCCTTCACCAGACAGTCAAAGAGTTTATCTATTTTAGTCGAAACTGTTCCTAACCAAACTTGATTTGCCTTACCAAGTCTTAAATCTAAATACTCAACTAACCAAGCAAACAATGCATTGTATCTGACAGTCTTTGGCCCACTGGTTAAAAGATAAGTGGTTGAAAAAAAAAACTAAAAAAAAACAAAAATAATATCCATGCAGAGAACTTCCTTGGTTTCACATGATTAAATTTGAGCATCGTCACATGCTTTAACTTATTCCTGTTTTTATATTTATTTATCATAAATTAGTATATTGATATTAAAAAGCTTGTAAGAATTTCATGTCCAGCAAATATTATTGTGTGTGGCCTGCCCTCTAGTAGAATGCTTTGGATCCCTTGATTGTGTGACTCATATTATTTGAAATCCCTTCAACTGCAATGACTTCAAATTATTTCTAAGACTGCAGTCCGTAGTGACAAGAAATTGTTTGTAGGAAATGGCTTGGAGGTAATATCATATGTAACAGATTATAATCTCCAAATCTTATAACAAGTAAAGGATTTCGAGCCCCTGGATGGATTTGCAATATTGATTAAAATTTGAAATTCTTCTGTAATTCTCCTATCATTTTTCTTTCTTTGGACCCACAACATAACAATACCATAGCTTGGGCTTAGTAGAACCTACCACTTTTATGTTGAAGAATATGAGTCCTACATCGAAAACTTTACTAAATAAAATACAAAATATAATGAATGGTTCCACTCCAAGGCCTTTTGTGATGAAACCTCACACCTATTGGCAGGGACGAGCCAATGATTTCAAACTTGACTGAGCTAAATTTACCTTACATATAAACATACTAAGTAGATAGAAAACTCGACAGTACGATGTAATTTCATTGATAATATGAAATTATAAAGTTAAAGTATAACCTATTGAATAAGCAAGAACACCCAAATCAATTACAAATCCTATTTGATAATTCATAACTCATAAACTGAAACTAATAAGCTCCAATTGTAAATCCTTAATTGATAAATAAATCACAAGTCTAAATTGCAAATCTCTAATTGATACTTCATAAACTGATAAGCTTTCCTTTTCTCCGTTTTATTCTCCACGTGCAGTGCAAGGGATTCCTTGGGAGGGTAGGTTATTTAATTGGCTGGGTTATAATTTCTTTTTGGGTTGGAAAAAAAATGCCACCTTGGCTATAGCCTAGGTTAGCCATGCTTATGGTATGTCCCTACCTACTGGGCTTTGTAGGTGGTTAAGTTTGAGACAATATTGACGTTGCTAGTAGTGGGCCGATGGCCCGTCTCTCTGAAATTTAACATGGTATCATAATGAGGTTATTGTCTGGGCCTGAATTACTAGGCCCTTACCCTTACCCCTTACCCAACATGTAGTATTCACATGTTGGGTTGAATGTTTACCCTTACCCCTTACCCAATACATGGTATTCACGTGTTGGGCTTGAATGATTGACTCCGATGTGGTGATCCCACGTGAGAGGGCGTGTTGAAGAATATGAGCCCCCCATTAGAAACTTTACTGAATAAAATAAAAAATATAATGAATGGTTCCACTACTAATATCACATAGGCATTTTGTGATAAATCCCCACACATACTGGGCTTTATATGTGGTTAAGTTGGGACAATATCGTTGTTGCTAGTAATGGGCCGTTGGCTCGTCTCTTTGCAGGCTTCTGTGCACATTTTTAAGTATCTTCATTAGCAATTTGAACATCAATGCCACTAAACCCAATCCAACTCTGCGCTTCAACACTACCCATCTCCCCGAAAGAGGAGAGTTGGATACAGGTTCATGAAAATATAGTTCCGTCTTCACAAAATTCACATCCATAATAACCAAAAAACTGTTTAGTGGGAGGATGATAGCAACGATACCCTTTTGATGATGAGAGTAGCCAATGAAAATGCACCGCAAAGAAACTAGGTCAAGTTTATCTTGTTGATTTTTGTGGAGATGCACAAACGCCACACAATAACAACATTATCCCAATAACTACAAGAAACACATCTGCCAATAAGAAAAGCATGCGTCGTCTCCAGGATGTGGTGGTTTTTCCTTTCAATAACTCCATTCTGTTGTGGTGTATGGGGACACAAAGTCTCACGAAGGGTGCCATGCTCCATAAGATAAGTCTGCAAACTATGGTTGACTTACTCACCACCATTGTCAGATCTCATAATCTTAATTTTAGTACAAAACTGATTCTACACCATCTTATGAAAGTTTTGGAACATGCAGAAATTTCACCCTTTGTTCTCATTAAATAGAGCCAGGTCAAGCGAGCATGCGAGTATAGTCATCGGTAAAGGTAACAAACCATTTGAGGCCAGTAAAAGTAGTAATGGGAGAAGGGCCTCATACATCGGAATGGATTAATTCAAAAGGAAAACCACTTTTATTGGAACTCAAAGGAAAAGTAACTCTATGACTCTTGACTAAAATGCAAGTATTACACTGAAAATCCTCATCACTAAAACCATAAAATAAAGACAACATTAGATGCCGCAACCCAAAAGAGGGAAGACCCAATCTAGAATGCCATAACCAAATACGCCTTCTTTTGTCGTCAACAAAGCCCTTGGTAAAATTCGTCCGGCCTTGGCTGATGTCGCTATCTCTCCTCCTTTGTGAGGATATCCTGAAGAAGGAAGAAACATGGATACATTAGTACCAAATAGTTAAGTTGTTCCGTTACCTGCTCGACGGACAATAAATTATTAGAGAGAGAAGACACAAGTAAGCAATGGTGTAAGGAGAACGATAGAGTCAGTTCTATTATGCCAACCCCTATGACTGAACTAGAAACACTATTTGCATTGGCCACACTGCTTAAATGGGGTGTGGTATGATATTTAAAATCTCCTTGATCAAAATGTCATATGATCTATGGCCCCTGAATCAATGATCCATCCATAATCGGTATGTAAACCAGAAAATTGAAATGTTTGACCTGCATTACTTTAGGAACTCAAACTAGAAGGCATACTTTCTTGAGTAAGATTAGATGGCAGGAGGGAATGATGTGGCTGAACGGTTGTAGCAAAATTAGGCCGTGCATAACAGGTCCGGCTGAAGGAGGTAGAGTTATTGCCAGGAGTAGCAGGTGCGGCACTTGCATGAGGGCCACCAGCTGGCGAAACAGTGTCTGTTAGTGCAACATTTCAAACTCTGTCTTGATGCTTCTTCCGTTTTTTCAAAGCGTCCCACCAATCAAGATACCTATTGAGTTTGAAGCACTTATCTCTGTTATGTTTGGTACTATTGTAGTGAGTGCAATGAAAAGGATTGGAGTCTAAGGTCTAGGAAGATTTCTAGGGCTTAGAGTATTAATACCATGTAGTAAAATTGGCAACAATCAATTTGATACCAATCAGTGCAACGGAAGCTTCACGATGAATATTAACAACTGGTACTACAGTGGTATTTGGATTGATAGCAAAGTCACCCATATGGTATGGAGACAAGGTCACAAGATGAACAACGTATGGGTATATGTAGGCACGACAACCTTGTAGCACAAGTTGTAGGTAGGCAAGGGTAAATGAAGGCACGACAACCTTGTAGCATGGGTTGTAGGTTAACACGGGTAGGTATGCGACAC